ATTGTGTGTGTATGGGGGGGGGGGGGGAGGATTGGGTGGGTAATGTCCATGTGAGCACAAGTGCCTCCACAGGCACTGGATCCCTTGTAACTGGAGTTGTAGGCAGTTGTGAACAACCTAACGTGGGTGCTCTGCAGAGTAGTACACTCTTAAGTGAGCCGTCTTTCCAGCCTCTTTGTACTTAGAGCTTAATGATATCCGTTGTTTGTTTTTGCAGGGTAGAATGTTTCTGTTTTGTGGCGAGGTTTGCTGTGAAGAATACAAAAGGAGAAATAAAGTTATGGCTTTGTGCGACTACTGTAAAATATATAAAGTCATCAAGGACATTGTGCGGTACTCAGGGGTTGACAAGCCATTCTGTAGTGAAGGTAAGGGGGTTCACTGTTCCTCACACAGTATGGAAGAGAGTGTATTTACGATTTTTGCTTTTCAGAAACTTCTTTTGCTGGGTAGTAGTAGTGTGCTCCTTTAACCCCAACATTTGGGAGGCAGAGGATCTCTGGTGAGTTCGAAGCCAGCTTGGTGAATTCCAGGACAACCAGGACAGTTACACAGAGAAATCCTGTCTCGAGAAACCAAGAACCAGAAACCAAACCAAATCAAAAAAACAAAACAAAACCCTTTTCTCTTTTACGAAGTATTACTTGGACATTTTTACAAGGTTAAATTTATGCAGTTTATACTTGCTACACCTTAAGATTTGTCCTGTTAAGCATTTTAGTAATCTCAGCAAACAGAAACTATAATTAATGACATTAGTAGAGAAAATCTTGTTGTTGTTTTTTTTGTTTTGTTTTGTTTTTGTTTGTTTTGGTTTTTTGAGACAGTTTCTCTGTGTAGCTTTGGAGCCTGTCTTTGGAGCCTGTGAGTTCAGGCTGGCTTTGAACTCACAGAGATCCGCCTGCCTCTGCCTCCTGAGTGCTGGCATTAAAGGTGTGCGCCACCACCGCCCAGCGAGAAAATCTTGTAAGTTTAGCTAAGACATCAGATTTTTTTATTTTTTGTTCTACCTATTTGTAAAGTATGAGTTCAAGCCTTTTGTTGCAACTTGATTTAAAATACAATACCTCTGTTATTTCTGAATATGGATGGTTTAATATTTAGAGCATATTTAAATGTTAATTTTTGTTTTGTGAATATGGAGATTATCCTATTATATAGAGGCAAAAAATTTATGTCAGGAAACCAAACCCAGGTCATTCATTCATTTTGTTTTTTTAAGACAGGGTTTCTCTGTGTAACTGTGTTAGCTGCTCTGGAACTTGCTCTGTAGACCAGGCTGACCTCAAACTCACAGAGACTGCTTGCCCCTGCTTCCCGAGTGCTGGGTTTAAAGGTGTGCTCCACCACTACCTGGCAAAACCCAGGTCTTTTGAAAGAGCCTCTAACTGCTGAGCAATCTCTTCAGCTTCCTTTTTTTTTTTTTAAAGAAGGCTCTAGTTGCTCAGTCTGGCCTTGAACTTCTTGAACTTGGCCTATAGTTGAGACTGCCCTGGAATTTCCTCTTGCCTCCTCCTCCCAAATGCTGGGCAAGAGACCTGTCATCACACCTGGCTAGAAGTCAGCTGAAACACTATAGACACTGGCTTCTCGCCTTGGAGCTAATGTGTGTTTGTCTTTCCCTTTTGTCCTTCCTTGTGTTCAGTTTGCAAGACCCTCTCTGCTCAAGACTTTGCAGAAAGATGGACAAACTGCTGCAAGATGTGCAGTTACTGCTTACAGACATCTGCAAATTTTGTAGAAAATCGACTGGAAGGCAAGCTTCAAGTTTTCTGTTGTGAAGAATGCATGTCCAAGTTTACAGCTCTGTTCTATCAGGTAACTAGGACATGTTCTTTGTCGTTCTGAAATAGGTGCTGATCATTTTCAATTTAAAATATGTTCAAATAACGTGAGGAGAATGTGTGTTTAGAATTGGGATTTCTGGAGAGCCTTTCCCCAATCCCATCCTGGTATTGGGGCTTGAATGTAGGACCTCATGCCCACTAGACAAATATTCTTCAACTGAACTGTATCACTAGCCTGACATTTTGTTGTTGAGTAAGGATATGTGTGCATTTGTATTCTCTTACTTATAAAATGTGATGACCTTGCTTGAAACTCTTAGGTTTGAAATTTACATAATGTTGCTTAAGTAGCTCTCCAATTCAGGTTACTCTAAGGAATTTAAAGTCAGACCTTGTCCTCCCTTCATAGGTCAAGGGACATACTGATAATCTTACTGCTTTCCTATGTTTGAGAGGCATATGGTGACAGGTGTAATTAAAGGAGCAATAATAGAAATCTGGTGCTCCTTCCTTGTTTCGTTCCCAGTGGCAGTCCTGAGAGATAGGTGCACACTGCCAGTCTGTAAGTAGAAGACTGGAGTGCAGAGAGGTGAGTAGCATGCCGGTGAGGAAGCTAGTAGATGACACTGCCTTGCTCCCACAGTGCTCTAGTGGAATCAGTAGCTACTTAACTGCCTCACCCCATGCGTAATTTTCTTGTGGAGGAATGTAATACGTTCTAACCATTATATGGTGAAGGACCAATCACAGTGCTTAAGAAAAGGGTACTATGGGCTGGAGAGATGGCTCAGTGGTTAAGAGCACTGACTGCTCTTCAACCGCTTGGTGGCTTGCCACCATCTATGGTGTGATCTGATACCCTCTTCTGGAATAAAGGCATACATTCAGATAGAGCATTCGTATATATAAAATAAATAAATAAAATCTTAAAAAAAGGAAAAGGGTATTTAATTAAATATTTGTTAGAGTGAATCTGTCTTTATGACTCCAAAGCTCATATTCTTTCTCTGTATGTTCTTTCTTACTTGTATAAAATACAACTTGTCTTTATATTCCCTCATTGGTAATTTTGGAAACAAAAAGAGCAACTTTTAGAAAGTCAATTTTTAGGATGCTTTATATGGAACAAATAATAGAATCTGTTTTTAACCACAGTATTTCAAGTGAAAGCCTTCCATTTTCAGTAAACAAAGCAGCCGTTTTCATCGTGTCTTTGGTTTACAGTAATATTACCTTTTTATAATTGTAACCCTTTCTTGTCTTCTGCTCCTCAGATAGCCAGGTGCGATGCTTGCAAACGTCAGGGTAAGCTAAGTGAGTCCTTGAGATGGCGAGGCAGCATCAAGTACTTCTGCAACCTCTTCTGTGTCTTGAAGTTTTGCCATCACTATAGTGTGAATGACCCAGTTCACAAAAAAGGTAAAGTGAAGCTTGACTCATGGGCTCTGTAGGTCAGTGCTAGGATAAGCTGTCAGCATCCACAGTTGAAGTACTGCCATACAAGCAGAGTTGCACTGCGTGCAGGTAGCTGGACTTCTTAAAGTCTCCTTCAGGGCTCCTTAGTAACAGTCTGTTCTAGTTTGGTTTCCATTGCTGTGGTAACTATGCCCAAAAGCAGCTTGGAGAGGAACGGGTTTATTTCATCTTCCAACTCTCAGGTCACACTCCATCACTGAGGGAAGTCAGGGAAGGAACTCAAGACAAGGACCTAGAGCCAGAAACTGAACAGAGACTGTAGAGCAGTAGTGCTTACTGGCTTGTTCTCCATTGCTCCCTCAGCTTGCATTTTTACACAACCCAGACCACCTGCTCAGGAGTGGCAGTACCCGCATGAATCATTAATCAAGAAAATGCCCCCTCAGGCTTGCCTACAGGGTATTCTGATGTAGGTATTTTTCTGAATTGAGGTTCCCTCTTCCTAGATGACCCTAGCTTGTGTCAAGTTGACAAAAGGCCATCACATAATCCTTGAGAGAAAATTCTGATGCTTTTTTGCATAAATCATAAATCAATCAGTCAAATATATATTTATCTTATAGGAAAATTTAATTTGATTGCTTTTGATTAAACTGTGAATATATGTAACTTATTCTAAGGGATCCATACTACTCAGTTATAATTAGAAATAAAAATTTAAAAAAAATTTAAAAAGAAATAAAAATTAAAAACAGGGCAAACAAAGGGAAGGATGTAAGTAAGTGTGTTAATATGGTGGCTGTGACTGATACAGAATTTGATGCAGATCTTGCTTGCAGCTAAAGAAAAAAGAGAAACACATTAATTATTTCAGAAAAAAATAAAGTAGAACAGTTCTTTATGGGTATCAGAGTTTTTCCTGAAAAAGAAAATAACTTTACAAGTAGGACAGCTAATGTGTTCAAAAAATTCAGACTAGATGTGAGGAATGTTCTTAAAGTCTCCACCCAGTCATATGTTCCGAGTCAGAAACACTTGTTATACCTGTCTTCTGATCAGAACCTCAAGTTCTTAATTGACAGACGCCATGTGCTTTTGCTTCTTGCAGTTTGGCTCTTACTTACCTTGTACTCCCTTTTTATATGTCTATTCTACACTTTTGTACTGGCCAGTTCTTCCCTTGGACTAGTCAGGTTGGTAGTAAAATATTCATTTTATAATATAGTTGAAGTAAACCAATTGGAGACTGAGTTGGCAGAGGGAGGGGTCGAAGGAATGGGAGGGAAAAAGAAAGACAAATATTGTTTTGTTTCATATTTGCGTAAAAAAGGTGAACTATTGCAGGGAGAAAGGGGACAAGGAGGATTGAATGTAATTAGCATGAATATTAGCAAAATATGATAATATAAACAATATGAAAATGAAACTTATTCTTTTTAGGCGAGAGAAAAAACAGTGTTCCATGGAGGGACAGCTGCCTCATTGGCTTTGGGAAACTGTTGTGTTAAAGTTTTATTTGAGATAAGCTTAAATGTAGGGTCTTATACCCACTAACAGGAACTTCTAGTTATTCCTAACACCTGGCATTTAACCTGTTAGATATTAAAATTATTAGATTTTTGGAACATCTTATATGGGATTTAGATTGTCCTTTGAAGCTAGAGTTTTACAGAATCAGGCTCTTTTTAAGTCCCAGTGAACCCTGACTTTATGACAAGAACCCAAACTAACATTACACAAAATTAGAACTTTGTATTGCTTCCTGAAAAACTGTTAAATAATTCTATTCCTGTTTTACCCTTTTATTTATACTTTGTCTTTATTGTTTATTTTAATCAGCATTCATTTTATTCCTTATTTTTATGGAACAATTTACAAATTTGTATGTCTCCATTGTGTAGGGACAATGCTAATCTGTCTCATTTCACTTTTTTAGTAATTGTGCTCCCAAAGTCAGTATCAGTAATTATTCCTAAAGCACAAAATGCTGTGACGACACTCCCTTCTCCAAGGATTCCTACAACACCAGTTATTACCAGTGTGATATCGTTGGCAAAAATACCTGCTCTCCAGCCCACCACGAACACTAACAGTGTTTTAACAGGTATGAGGCATTTGGCTAAGAGGAAAGTATTGCTTAGTCTAAGAGTTTGTATTGGTAATGCCTTTCTTTATATTGTATGAGGAAATGGTGCCCCCACTATGTGGGGTGAGTGGCTAGTAAATGAAGAGGGATCTGTTGGAAAGGAAGGATGGGTATAGTTATTTTTTTAAAAGCTTCTAATGGGCTGTAGAGGTGACCTAACAGTTAAGAGCACCTGCTGCTCTTGCAGAGGACCTGGGTACAGCTCTCAGCAGTTATATGGAGGCTTTATCTGTGACTCCAGTTCTAGGGAATCTGATGTCCCACTTTGGGTTCCATAGGCACAAGGCACACGTGTGATGCACATACATTACCTGCAGTCTAAACACTCATACACATAAAATAAAATGAATAAACAAAAAGAATTTGAAAATTTTAATGTACCTGCCTGTGTGTGTCTCTCTTTCTGTCTGTCTGTTGTGCATATATACTTACTTCTATATAGGTGGGTAGGCATGGAAGCCAGAGGTTGATGTTAGGTGTCTTCACCACTCTCCATCTTGTTTTTGAAAGTTTGAGTTTTGTTTTTTATTATTGTATATATATGTGTGTGATATATGTGCACAAGTGTGGACAGGCACATGCCAGACCTTTGTTGTGGAGGTCGGAGGACAGCTTTTGGGAGTCAGTTTTCTCCTTCCACTTGGGATCTGAGGATCAAGCTCGGTTTTCAGGTCTGAGTAGCAAGCATGTTAGCCTACCAAATCCATCTTAGTTTTTAAGACAGGGTCTCACTGAACCTGGAGTTCACTTATTGGTTAGGCTAGAAAGGTCAGTGAACTCTAGGATCCTCCTGATCACCTGGGCTTACAGATTCAGAGACATGCTTGGTGTTTTTGTTTTTAAACTTGGGTTCTGGGAATCTGAATTCATAGCCGGATGCTTGCACACCAAGCCCTTTACCCACTCAGCCATCTGGCCATTCCCCACTCTTCCATCTTTGTTACCAGGCATTCTAATAAAGTAGCAGGGGGTTGAAGTAGGGAATCCTTACCTTTACTAGGCACCACAGGTGTTTCCTTGGACTATTTTTTGAGAAATTCTCACCCAGGCTCTAATCCACCTTTGTGAGAGAAAATGAATGCCAATTTCTGTGTTTACTCATGTATATTGTGAGAATGATAATGTGTATTTTGATTTTTAACAGGTGCAGGTCCTAAAGAGGTAGCAGAGATCATTGGAAATGTGAGTTTTATTGTTTGTATGTTACCTGATAATCCTCCACTTACTTATTTCATTTTGCTTATAGTCTAATATATAAACATACACACATATGCATATACATATACATTATGCAAGTACTTTTCTATTTGTAGCTGATTCTTTTCAAAGGGTTGAGCGGTAACACATTTTATGTTTTGAACCACTGCTGGACTCTAGATCATTAATAAGGATATACTCTTGATTCATCTTACTTTGTACTGAGCTTCCTCTATTTGTTTAAGTGCCTGCTAACTCCTGACTGCTTATTTTCCCTCTTTGGGAAGCTCAGTGGTGTCACGTCACTGGGACTGATAATAGTACAAAGTGCATATTTACTTAATTTCTCACGTTATGTCTCAAAATTTGAAAAATGTGAAAATGTCCCCAAATTTAAAAATAATTTTAGCTGGGCCTTTAATCCCAGCTCTTGGGAGGCAGAGGCAGGTGGATCTCTCTGAGTTTGAGGCCAACCTGGTCTACAAGAGCTAGTTCCAGGACAGGCTCCAGAGCTACAGTGAAACCCTGTCTCGAAAAACCAAAAATAAAATAAAAAATAAAAATAATTTTAAAGAGTGAATAATATCAGATTTGGCCGGCTATCAGGATCACAGGCTGTGGTTGTAGTCCAGTGCCAACCATCACCTCAGCAGAATTGACCTTGACCTGCGGAGCTATGCTAAGTTCTCTCATCCTTCCTTAGTATCGTTTGAGCTAACGTAGACCGTGTTAGGTCTTGACTTAGTGATTTCAGTGACTTTTTGAATAATTAAAAGTCTTTTTTGGGGGGGGTATGTTTTGAGACAGGGTTTCTCTGTGTAGGCCTGGCGGTGCTGGAACTTACTCTGTCGACCAGGCTGGCCTCTGCCTCTGGAGCGTTAGGTATGTGCCATCACCGCCTGGCTTAGAAGTTTTTTCTTATGTGACAATGCCATTCAGGTGTTATAAAATGATGACGTGGACCTCAAGTGTGTCCACTATTAGTGTCTTTGGAACAGCAGGTGTTAGAGATGATGAAAATCTACACAAGGACCAAACCACTTGCTGTGGTATCTAGGTGCTGTTAGACTGGAGTGTGTCCTGCACAGTGTAAGAGGGAATTCTCAAAACCCCAGAGCAGCAGAGCAAATTAGGCAAACTACTTGCCTAGCTTAGAAAAATTATAGCCAGACAAATATAACAGAATAGTGGGAAAAACTCTGGCAATTCCAGTATGAATTATTTTTGATGAAATGAAAGTAGTTGGAACATCAAAACGACTCAGCAGGTAAAGGCGCTTGCCACACAAGCCTGACCTCAGAACCGTGCAAAGATGTAAAGAGAGAACCAACTCCACAGAGATGTCTTCTGGCCTTCATATGTGCGTGGTGGTACTCGCATGTCCCCACATCACATACACAACCAACAATAATATAAATAAAATACATTTCAGAAGATGGGCGGTGACGGCGAGACAGAAGTCTTATTGTAAGTCTTAGTGATCTTCCTGGGTTTAAAGCCCATTGAGGTTTTAATACATAAATGAGTAGGCAGGCTGTATCTGCTGTCACATTTGACCATATTATAGCAGCCATTGCTTTTTGTTTGTTTCATTCTGTTTTTTGAGACAAGGTTTCTCTATGTAACAGACCTGTTTGTCCTGGAACTCGCTCTGTGTAGACAGGCTGGCTTTGAACTCAGAGAGCCACTTGCCTCTGGGATTAAAGGTATGCACCACTATGCCAAGCAGCAATGATTATTTTTGAAGGTAAAGATCCAAAAATGGGTTGCTGTTCCATAGTGAAAAAGAAAAGTTGGGAAATATATCTGTATGTCAAAGATCCTTAGTCAGGGATTCAAGCACACTCGTGTCTGTCTTCAGCAGATGTCTTGTCTGGAGTCACTGTTGTAGAAAGGTAACTTGTCCAGTTTAGTCCTCGTGACTCTCCCAGTATTTATCATATTGGAAGGTGTGATACTATCTAATTATTTTCAGACAGTATATTCATTAATGAAAGTCATTAAATTAACTTGTACATGTTATATACTAAATCATTTAAAATTATGTGATTAATCACTCGCACCATTAATTATTATGCCATTAAATGTACAAGTAAGATTTTACTGTGTATAATTAATAAGTATTATTAACATGTGTTTACAAAAGTATTCTATATAATATCTAACAATTTGCAGTACTGATAATAAATTTGTGTCCTCTGAGAATACATCCTTCTAGTGTATGTATGTGGGACAATTAGTCTTGAATTATGCTAATTTTGAGTTATTCAGGTTTTTAGGAATATGCACCTCATTTAATACAGTTACCCTATATATGTTTTTCCCACGTGGAGTATTTCTGTAATCGCCTCTCATTTTAAACTATGTTACTGGGGGCTGGAGAGATAGCTTAGCAGTTAAGAGTAGTGGCTGCTTTTCCAGAGGACCCAGGTTTGATTCCCAGCACCCAGACAGCAACTTTTTTTGTTTGTTTGTTTTTGTTTTTCGAGACAGGGTTTCTCTGTGGCTTTGGAACCTGTCCTGGAACTAGCTCTTGTAGACCAGGCTAGCCTCGAACTCACAGAGATCTGCCTGCCTCTCCCTCCCAAGTGCTGGGATTAAAGGCGTGCACCACCACCACCCAGCCAGACAGCAACTTAAAACATTCTACTCTACTTTCAGGGATATAACGTCATTTTCTGTCTCTGTGGCCTCCATGGGCACTAGGTATTCATATGTTGCATAATCATACATGCAGGTAAAACTCCCATACACATAAAAATAAATTTAAAAATATTTTAAAACCTGTTACCAAATAGCTTTGATTGATTCAGTTTTATTCTGTAAAAATATGATGCTTGTATGCTATGACAGTTTTAGAATCTTTTGTTTCTTTGAGAATGTTAATGTGAATTTTCCTCAAGTTATTTAAATAATTTGAATTTTGTGGAATGTTAAATATAAGGAAGCAAATCTGCTGAAGTCACCAAACTCTTTATATATATTTATATTTTATGTACATTGGTAATTTGTTATGAGTGTTGGGTCTCCTGGAACTAAAATCACAGACAGTTGTGAGCTGCCATGTGGGTGGTGGGAATTGCACCTGGGTCCTCTTGAAGAGCAGTCACTGCTCTTAACCACTGAGCCATCTCTCCAGCCCCCAAACTCTTAATATAATTCTAGAAAGTAAGTATTTTAGACTTTGCAAATTGGAAACTGCAATTGCAGTTGTCTGTTGCAACTGGAGGATCTGCCACCTCTGCTGATCTAGGTAGTGCCAAAGTAGCTGCAGACAACATGTGGGCAGGTGCATTTCAAATCTAACTTTGTGTACAAAGCAAATGAAGGTGTGCTTTGCCAAACCCTGACCTGTGGTATTCCCACCATCCAGAATTAGGTTTGTCTGTTTGCTTCTGTTAGTTACTGTTCTATTGCCGTGATAAAATACCATGACCAAAAACAAGCTTCTCTTTTTACCTTCTTTGTTATTTTTCCAGATTATACTTAAGGTTTAGAAGCAGAGGAGTCACATGATCCGATTTATGGGAAGCAGGGAGGTTAGATTTTGTTATTGTTGGTTCTTTTGTTTTCATTTACTTTGTCTTTTCAGGCTCTTCTTGAATTAGCATCCTCCTGCCTCAGCCTCCATATTGATTGGTGTTTTTAAAAGGTTTTTTTTTTTTTTTTTTTGGTGAGCTCAGCTCTGTAGAGTATTTTCCTAGCCTACATGAAAGCTCTGGGTCTGATCCCTAATACCGCATAAACCCAGCACTCAGCAGCAGGAGGATGAGAAGTTTGACACCATCCTCAGATATATAGCAAGTTGTAGGACAGCATTGTCTGCATTAAGAAAAAATTCTGGCAATAACTGCAGGGAGATAGTTTGGATGGCACTGCAGCCATTCAGCAGAGCAGAACTAGGGCTTTAAGAGGCAGGGAATATTAGAGAGAAGGGTATGGGGATAAAAGGATTCTTTTTAAAACATACTCAAGACAGCTATTAGTCATCCAAGAATAAATACCACATAGAATAGACAGGTGGATATGTGTCCTGGGGCTATAGGGTAGGAAAAATCAGTCTGGAAACTAGTCATTATTTATATGGACGTGGTGGCACACATGTAATCTCAGCATTTGGGAGGCAGAGGTGGAAGGATCCCCCTAAGTTCCAGGCCAGTCTAGACTACATATCAATACTCTAAAGAAAGAAGTGAGACGGGAAAGGAGGAGGGAGTCAGGGAAGGAAAGAAAGAGAAGGAAAGAAAGTTAGCAACCTACGGGTACTCAGGATGGGGTTCAGAGTAGAGCATTACCTCACATCCCAGGCTTCTCATAGATTTGACTGCTATTGTCACTAAAGAAAAACTAAAAAAAAAAAAAAAAAAAGCCACCACTGTATAAAGACAATGTGTTTCCTGGTTTCATAATGTTATTCAGAATGATATGCCATTTAAAGTTTCTGAATTACTTGTTTCTGGAATATATATATATTTTTGTGATCTAACAAATAAGGCTTGCCTGAAGATTAGAGTGCAGAGCTAAGCCTCGAGAGGCCAGGGAGTGGTGGCACACACTCAGGGAGACAGAGGCCGAGGGGTCTGTCTCTGCTAGCTCAAGGCCACCCTAGGCTACACAAGATTGAATCTGTCTAAAAGAGAAACTGTGCTCACACTGAGGTGTGCTGGGATCACATGCCTTTAATCCCAGCAGTAGGGAGGTGGAGACAGGAGTGATATGATATGGTTGAGTAGAGAGAAGAATAGAAGGCGGGAGGAGATAGTAACTCAATGCAGTCTGAGGACAGGGTTCCCCCTTTGGTCTGAGATTTCAGGAGAGGTAAAAGGTCTCTCTAGTCGATGGCTGCACTGCTTCTCTGATCTCAATTTTCAACCCCTAATTTCTGACTCTGGGCTTTTATTAAGAACAATTAGAATTTGTGCTATCCACACATGCACACACACACATTTGATCATTTTTTGAGGATAAAATGTGGTATTTCAGATCAGTAGGAGAAATATGGATTATTCAATAAATAATAATGGGACAAGTAAATAGTCATATAAAAGACAATATTTTGCATTTCTACCAACCAGTTTTAACCAAAATGAAGTTCAAATGGGAATTTAATTGTAAGAAGCAAAATAACTAAGAAATATGTAGGAAAAACTCCCAAATATGTCATAAAACTCAGAAATCATTACAAAAATCCCTAAGGAAATTTGGCTATATCCCAGACTGAAAAGATAAATGGGCTGGGCCCGCTGGCTCACCACACATCTAGTCCCAGCTCTTGGGATGCAGAAGCAGGCAGAGAACTGAGTTCAAGGCCAGCCTGGTCTAGTAAATTTTGTGCCACCTGGCACTAGATAGTGAAACTGCCTTAACGTGGAAATGAAAGGAAAATGGGTAAATGTAAAGGTTACAGAATTTTTGCTATTTTGTGAGTGCAGTGTGTATTTAGGATTGAACCTGAAGCCTTGGCGTGCTAGAC